CACCATCACCACCATCACCATCACCATCATCACCATCACCACCACCACCATCACCACCATCACCATCACCACCATCACCATCACCACCACCACCATCACCACCATCACCATCACCACCACCATCAAGAAGCCACTGCCTGACTGAGACACACCCAATGGAAGACATGGGTAAACTGACACTGGGAAGACAGGGCTAGAGATCATCACCAGGGAAAGACTCATTCTTGCTGGGATGTCAAACCACAGGGAGGGTCGGTAGTGGAGCTGTTGTTTCTTCTGATTCCAACAATTCACCTTGGCTTTGTCCCATTTCCAATTCTTGGGTTTTCCTGCCTTCTCATGGCTCGTTCCTGTGCGCCTCCCTCTCTATTGATCCCACAATGTTCTCTTTAGTCCAAATGGACGACTTCTTCCCATTTCCCCAGCCTCCCGAGTGCCCTCTCTCCCCTTATCCCAGGCTGCGGCGTTCCTGCCTTCCCCTTGACCCCCTTGCCATCTGCATGAACCCCTGCTTTGCGGTGCTCAGCTCCAGAAATGCCAAACTCCTTAACACCCAGTTCCCAGGGTTTGTCTCACCCTCTTTCTTCCTCTAATAAAGTGTCTTGTTTAATAAAGTCCCCCGCGTTTGCCCAGCACACGTCCCCTGACCTCTGCACTGCTCTGGAGTGTCACTGGGTCCGGCCCTGCTGCAAACTCTCATAGCACCGGGTGAGCTCCTCCAGCTGCTTCTCCAACACCTGGGCCTGCTGCCTCAGCTCTGCAGCCGACTCCGCCTTTGCTCCCTCATGCAAGTGCTGGGAGTTTTGCACAAGGCTGACCAGGTCCATCAGAAGCCCGACTCCTGTGGTGACTGCACCCACGATCCGTGCTCCTTTGGTCATTGCTAGAGCTGTGCCTGCAAAAGCTTTCTGCACCTGCTCAGCGCCTTGAGCAGAGATCTTCCCAGTGGTCATGAGGCACTTGGCATCGGCTAGTAAGTGAGGGCTGGCTTTGGCTACCTTGATGGCCCGGATGTTCTTCCCAATGTCTTTCAGGACTTTGGAACAATTCTTGGTTAAGGAAATAACTTTGGGCGTGTTCTCATTCACAGCCTCCTTCCCCACCTCTGCCATGTTCACCTTGGTTGACAACAGGCTGCTGGCTTGGCCTTTTGCTAACAAGGTGTTTGATTGTTCCACAATGTGGGTGGAAACACTGGTCACAGCAGCTGCTGCTCCCAGCCCCAACCCAGTTGCTGAGAGTCCCAGACTGACTCCTGCTGTCACAGGTGCCAAAGTCAAGCCAAGGATGGTCAGGATGCCAGAGGCAATGCCAGTGGAGCTGGCCACCACCTCGGAGATTGTGCAGTCCCTGTGGACCTTGTCAATCTTATCTGCAAGGGCATGGAGCTTTCCTATGCGCTCCTCGAGCTCCAGTTTCACCTGAAAAAACTTGTTCAAAAGCGTCTCCCTCTCCCGCAGGTCTTTTTGGAGCCTGTCTTTGTCCACCATGATCGTGTCTGTTGCAAGATCCTTCAGAGCTTCACGGAGTGCATCCGCCTCATCCCTGGAACAATAAGGATCAAGAGATTAAGAGAGACAGTTTTCTTATCTGTAAAATGGGCTCAATAAGATCTATCCTGCTTAAATCACAGAGCTTTTACTATAAATCAAATGGAAACAACTTTTACAAATGTAAAGAATTTTTCCTTCAACGTTAAACACATTTTGCACATCATAGATGCCCTGTATTACTTAGTCATTACAAGATTAATAAGTAAAAGTCATCTCAAGATGTTCTTTAGCGGTAGGTGCTTGATGAAGACGCCCGTTCCCTCGAGGGCAGGGCGGCACCATCGCAGAGTGGAAACTCCACCGAGAACAAAGAGAAGTGGATTGGAGAGAAAAAAAGGAACCCTTTATTCAGAGAATTCTAATGTAGTGAAGAGTTAGCCTTAGCCAAAGGGAGATCGTCCCTTTGTCCTCAGCTACTGGGAAGTGACCTCTAGGCCCCTGGAATGTCCTTCCTGATAGGAAAGTCTGTGTGATCCTGGCGGCTTTGGCCATAGGACAGCATAACGATATGAACTATCATGGTGACTCTGGGCCACGTGGTGTCATTTCTGACCTACTGAGGAACTGGAGACTAAAGGTGCTACACCTCCAGGAAAGGCTGGAGACTCCAGGTGGGCCACAAGGGCAGTACGTGATCCTGCCCCAATAAAAACTCTGGACATGCAGGCTTGGGTTGAAAAAGACTCTCTCCTTGCTGAAACCTCAGTTAGGCTCTTCTGAACCTCTTCTCGACTAGGCGCCAGCCTTGGCCTCCATGTCTCTCCTGTGCATGCTGGGCCTGCTTTGCTCAGTCTCAGCCAGAGTCCCGCTAAGTCACTTTCGTGAGCATCCTCCCTCCCTTGTATCTGAGCACCCTGGATATCTGATCGAGATTCCTCATCCCCCACCTCTGGTGTATTAATGCTCTGACCTGCCTCGGTCCTGCTAGGTCATTTAGCAAGAGTCCCCCGCCTCGATGTCTCCTGCTAGTGATTTGCCACCTGCCGATGCCCTCACCTGTTTGCTGGCGGTAAATCGCCAGCAGTCCTGACTGCATTTGGAGTCGAGCCCAATCTCTTTCCTCTACCGCAGTAATCCTGAGTAAAGGCTGCCTTACTGTTTTAACACGTGTCAGAGTAATTTTTTCTTTAACAGGGTGGGCTTCCTTGGTTGGCGCTGCTCCGTGTGTATTGTCACACACTGAATACAGAGCGGCGCTGTGTTCCTGAGGACCATGGAAGCTTCACTTGAAACCATTGTGGCCTGTGTGTCTCTTCCTTTGGTTGATTTTAACCGGTGTTCTTCCCTGTGATAAACCGTAACTGTGTAATAACAGTTTTCGGTGGTTCTGAGAGTCCTGATAGTGAATTATCAAACCTGACGCTGGATTTAGGAAGGACGTCAAGTTCGCGGTTGGTATCAAAAGTAAGCAGGCCCTCAGACGTTGCAGTTTGGCCAACTCCGGGTACTTAGAATTGAAAATGAAAACAAAAACCTCAGAGCCAGAAGGGACCTTAAATGTCATTTTTCCTGGTGTCTGCTCTCTTTTCATGCCTGATGCCCTTTGACCTCTGGCTGAAGGTCCCTGGGTCCGCCCACTGCCCAGTTGATCACGAAACAGGCAACCTGGCTGCTAACCCTGGGTCCATCCTGATTCTCCTCCCATCTGATCGACTCCTGACCTCCCACCTGGCACCCCAACTTTCAGGGCCTTCCTCTCAGATGTTACTAGTAACTGACACCTTCGCTGATGACACTTTTGCATGTGTCCATGCCAAGGCCATGTGCAATTTTATGCAACCTCCTAAAGACTCGAGAGACTTTAAGAACCATCTATATGAATTGCTAAGCCTGAAAAGACCTGGATTTGGACAAGATGCCAGAGGGAGTGTTTCCCTCTATAGGCAGAACTTGTGGGTCTCTTCAGAATCCTGCAAAATATTTAAAATTGACAGCCTTCCATAATGACCTCGGAAGTCTTCGGTAAGCCGCTATGCCCACCCATTGGTCAGGGGCTACTCTATGTAGAACAGAAGGGGGTCCCAAATGGCAGCCGAGAACTCTGCATCCCTCAGGCAGGGTGTGAAGGACACGGTCTCCCTCAACCCTCTGTGCCTCTCAGTGGGGGATCCAATCAGGGAGGGAAGAGATATCCCTCTCCGACTCCTGTGTCCCCTGCACGGCCATGACCTCTGTAAGTCTGTGACCTCGCTGCCCGCTGGCCACACCCCAGCCCCAGCTCTGCTGTCCCAGCTTTCCTATTGCTCCTCCTGCCCCCTGAGGGTTCCCTCTGCCCTCGACCTGAGGCTGTTCACTGCCAGCGAGTGACAGGAAAGAATTGGTCCTCACGGATTGTCAAGAAGTGGGTGTCCTCAGCCCCAGCCAGAGAAGGCTGCCCGGAGGAGGTGCACCTGCCAGGAGGAAACTTGCCCAGTGGGGACAGCCGGGTGGCATTTCTGAGGCACTCCACAGAGGTAGCCCATGGACGTTACCTGGACAAATCAGCCTCAGCCACAAACCCCTCCCAGGCTTCATCATCAGTCAGCAGAAGGTGCAGATCCTTTCTGCTCACCGTGTCCCGGAAATACTCGGTGACATCCTCAATAAAGCTGCTGCTCTCTGCTTGGAAAGAAAACAAGGTTGGAGGCAAGTGGGGCAGGGCATAAATGGCACTGGATAGAAGGTGGCTACATGTTGACCTTCCCGAGCAGCTCTCACGTGGGGCACTTGTGATGGAGTCGCCCATGCTAGAGACGGAGCTCTGCTCCCCCGAGTTTCGTAGGTTGAAGCCCTGACCCCTAGCACTGTATTTGGAGACAGGGCCACCAAGGAAGTCATTGCCAGAATCCCATAGGACGGGTGTCCTATGGCAAGGAGAGGAAGAGACACAAAGCCTCCCAATCCCCCCTCCCCAGCCCATCCTGTCCCCACCCCATCCT